CTTATAATTACCAATGGAAATTTATTTTAATATTCTCGATATCAAAGATTTTGATATCAAGATACCAAATATTCTTCATTATTGTACTTATTGTTATTATATAGTTTTTAAGATCTCAGAACATTGAGTTCCTTTTGTAAAAATAATGTAAAAAATTTTGTAAATAATAATAAGTCAATAAATATAAAAATATTCTACTATTACTTTTATTTTTAAAGACCAGTCATTTTGGTAGAGATAGCTACGTCTCAACTGTCGGTAGTTCTAGTGTTAAACAAGAATAACTTTGACAAGCACGTGTTTTTAGAATTTTTTATCATTTTTTATAAGTTTCGACTTTTTCAAACCCTTCGGTATGTTTCTATCGTACGATTCGACGTCAAACTCTTCTAACACTGTTGCCGAATAAGTGGAAGAAAGACAAACTTCGCTGACTGACATGAGACGAAGGGGACTATCTTCCCTAAAGATAAAATCATTCCCGGAACACGCGAGCTGAAAATTCCAATGCGACAGCGATGGGAGGAATCGGCTGAACGTCCTTAATCGAAATCCGGAACGAGAGCGGGCAATTATTGATGCAGACTAATTTCACTATATAGTCCGGCTGCGAAATCGACGAAAATAAGGCCACCTGAGGACACTTCCTATCTGCTCTTCTTCTCTCTCAATCGTACGTATGATAAAATTTAGCTGTAATAAGATGCTCATTTTTATCACTGAAACGAGAAATCAATCGGGGGAGATGTCGAAGAAGTTATGTAGTTCTTGTTACTTAGGAAATAAAAACTAGGGAAAATGGGGGATAAGTTGGAGATCTATCTATAAAATTTAATTATATGAACAGTTTCGTTTCTTGAGCCAACTGAATTAATTTTTATGATTTGCTTGCTACATCGCATAAGTAGACTGCTATGATGAAAATGAAGAGAAAAATCATGGGATAACAATTACAATTTCCTTCACATTTTGTGACTAATATCTTCAACTTAAATAATAAACATCAATTTTATTAATTTTTTTTTTTTACGATAATTTTATTTTTCATTCCTGATCAAAGACTATGAAGTTGCGAATTATCTCTGACTGTGAATTATAAGTAAAAGGGCTAAAGGAGGTAAACATTCCTGACTACTATTTAGCCGTTTAAAAAAGAATCGCAGGAATTTTCAAAAGAAACAATTTGTTTTTTTATTAGAATACCGTTTAGCTAACTATTGTTTACTAAAAATAGTTTTTATTTTATTTTTCAGAGTTTCCTTCGCGGTGGTTTCTTCAACATTTGCAGTCATATATGGACCGGATTTTATTTCGAAAATGTGGTGTAAATCCATTTTGAATAAAAAAAAAAATGAGATATCACATAATTTGTAATTAATTTAGTGTAAACTTTTTATTTATAACTAGTTAATATTTAATATTTCCTTTTATAATTTGTTATACTTGTTTTGATAAAAAGATATCTTAATCTGGAGAGAAAAAATAGTTCGATAAAAATTATATATTGCATATAAAATCATTGATAGAAGGAAAAAACAAAAATTTTCAACAACTAAATTTGTTTAACCATTTATGTCTGGATTAATTAAGTTATCTAGGTCATTTTTGTGTCATTGAATGACATTTCACATACTATAAACATAAAGAAGAGGAAAAAGAATTTTTCCAATAATTTGACATGGAGCCTCCATTTCCATTATGTGATTTTTCAAATATCTTAATATTGAAACGTTACGTCGCCAGGATAGAAATTTTTTTGTTAGAAAAGAAATTTATAATTTATAATGGAAAATTTATGAATTCGACCATTCTCTAGTTTTTTATTGGCAGACATTCTATCCTGATAACGCAACATTCGAATATTGATTCTTGTATATTGACTGACTGAAATGATATAATATGATACAAATGATATATAATGATATGAATGACAATATTGGAAGTAGTGTATTTGGCATGGAATTTTATTGACTACATGTTTTAAAGTCTGCATTAAAAGTTTTCTAAAAGAAATACAGGACTTAATAACACATATTTCCAATCTTCCAAGGAACATGATTCCATCCACCATTTTATAAACATTCATGGAAAGCAATAAGAAGTTCAGTTCATGCAAATTATTTCAATCAGTCTCGTTTGACTTACGGCCGCCTCCGTCTTTGAAAGTAATTTCGTTTATTCTTCTTACTTGGTTACTCTAACTTTCATTCAAACTCTGTTCTGATATCACAATGTTACATTATATCATACAACACCAAACGTATACATGTACATTGTCTAATTGCACATCATATTCTTCTGTATTTGCTATAATTTAAAGTAGAACATGAACTTGTCAGAGAACAAATAGTATGTGTGTGTGTGTAATTGGAATTCATATAATAGAAGTTTGGGTTTAAGAAATCATTTAATTGGATATTGATTAATTCAACTGATAGTAATTCAGGTATTGACTTTAATTCAAATAAATGGAGATCATATAAATAGAATTCTATTGTATCAGCAATTATAAGAATAAGTAATCAATAATTTTCATAAGGTGAATCTTTAAAAAAAGTTATTGATCACATGGAAAATTTCACAAAATTATTTGAACTATATTTAACTCTAAGTGAAAAACAAAAATACATAATATATTTTTTAAGACTCGTAAGAGACATTCATAGAACATAGCATGAACAATATAATTGCTTTCTAGCGGCAAGATTATGAAGATAAATGAATGAGATTAAGGAATGTCTCTGCAACATTCTCATTGTAATAACTCGCAATTTTTCAAATGTCACTTTTGTCGCAAGTGTGTGATTATTGTTATTAATATATCATTTTCATTCCTGTCTATTCTATATTTACACTATATTGTAACAAAGTTAACCATCTAACGAACATGCTTTTAAATTAATCGACTATTTTATTGATTTTCATGAATTCAATAAGTATGACATATATAAAAAGTTTCAAATGCATTCTATAATGTTAAATGTAATCTATACTCCTGAATGATCATACATCAAGAATTGTATATCCATTTTCAAACCCATTAGAGCGATTGATTAAAAAGTACGATTACTATCAAATGTTGGTATATATAAAATGTAACATACGCAGAAATAAAATATATATGAAATGTAACATGATTATGGATCTGCTGAATGATGTATAAAGTAAAATGTACAATATCAAATTAATCATCAAATTGAATATTTAAATCAAAATATGTAACATGAATTGAATTAACGTGCACGCAATGATAATAATTGTAATTAAATATTTGATCAATTGTAA